GGGTTAAGATATCCAAAACATAAAAATTTACTATTCAGAATCGTGTTCGCTGTACACCCAAATTTCTTAATTTTAGAGCTTATCAGAGTTAAGATTCCGGCTAATAATTTTATATCCCTAACCACGAGAACTTTCAAACGAATTGGATTTTCTTTCATATAAGGCTTAAACTACTTTTTCCAAAGTATTTAGCTTTCTTCCATATAAAGCACTTTAAACATAACAAAACAAAGAAGAGAAGAGAGCATCATACATGTAATTTGCATTTGAAAGAGCGGTATACGTTTCCGAGATTAGTCCACTCAATTTGTCAAAGCTAAGATCTCTGCAAAATAAGTCTTACAATATCAGGTTGAAGATCTGTTTTCTTCACCCTCCAAACAAAATCAAAGTTGAATCCCGAAAGCTAGGGCATACCTCGACGGTTCTATAAGGTCATTGCGAAGTGACTCTGATGGTCTTCAATATTTGAGAAGGCTGAGGAAAATGAGAGTAGAACAAGTGCCAATTCTTCAGTTTATTCAAAACAATACATATCGCTTGACGAAAAGTACAAGGTTATACTACTTATATATTAAAAAAATTACATTTACAAACATAGAACTAATGATTCAGAGAAATCTGATTATACAAAAAGAAAAGTGATGAAGTCTAACAATATAGTGATTTTCTTATATGAATCCGAGTGAAGACAAAATTCTAAAGAACCCTAAAACATCAACAAAAGTTTCTCACAAGGTCAACAAAACAAAAAAGACACAATAAGTACGTAATGAGGAAACACCATTATAAATGAATGAAGATGTAAACAACAAGTAATCAAAGAGATATTTATCGAAAACATAACAATACTTTATGAATGGAAGTTATCCTATCCGATAGAGCTTAGGGGTATTGGAAGCCCCGTCTCATACAAACAACAAGCATCAAAATTTATGTCCAGATGATATAAAAGTGCATATTTTTAAAGTTGAATGCTTTTCAATACCATATATATATGTGCTATTACCCGTTACAGCAGCTACCAAAGAGTAATCTATCATAAGAGTTTCTCAAGTCTTGCATATATCCTGAAAACAACAAGAGTAATAAATTAGGCTTTCTGAGATCTAAGATTTTCTTATGATTGATTATCTAAGGAACATCAAATATATATGTATATCTTATGTATCATCAGTATGCAACCGTAAACAATAACTTTTAGGTTTAACCAATTCTAAACATTTACGGATTTGAATTGGACTCGAGTTCATCATATGTCATAACATGAGAGAGAGAACAAAAAAGTGAAAGAAAGATACCAAAAGGCACTGCCTTTACGGTAGTAGAAGGCATCAGATCGAAGACAAATGGAAATGAGAAAAGTTGAGGTGTTATTGACGGCGGCTTGAGTGAGAGATGCTCAAACAATGATTTAGGTTTTTATCTAAAAACATGATTAGGGTATATAAATTAAACTGAAGGATAAGAGAGACAATATTGTCCACACATGAAAGGTGCATGAACCTAAGCTGGAATAGATATTCCATTTTCAAATTACTGACTAGACACTTTGGATTTACATAAACTACAGATGTGTCTCTTATCTTTCCAGGGTTCATTTTTTATTTATTTAATTGAACTTAGGTGAACCTTATTTAAAACTAAATATTGAAATATTAAAAGTGTTTGATGAATAAAAACATAGAAAGATATAAAAAGAATTAACAATATCAAAAACATAATAGAACGATCGAGATCAGAGATTGAAGAGAACAAACAAAATCAAAAGCATAGGAGGCATGATCTCTAATGGAGTCTGGGAAGGAGAGTCGATACCACAAATGAAGTAACCAATTTGAACAATCGAGATTAGAGACTCGAATTGAGGAAGCTTTTATCCGTTAGAGGCGGTCAATGTATCCGAACAAAGTTGTAACTGGTACATATCTATTTATTTTATTATTTGAGAGGTAACTATGGTTCAAGTTTAAAGTTGACATTTGAGATTATTATGTTATCTTGTTATATATTCTCTTCGGATCATCCCCATCATCATTGACAACAACCTGTTATATATATGTTTTTGAGATTAATATATGCTTTCAGAAAACTTGAGAAATTCATAAGGTACATGCATTCATGCAAGCATAAGCATATATATATGTACATTGCCGATAAGTAGCGGTGTGAGTAAAAATATTCATATCCAAAATCCGATCTGTTTCGAAACTTAAGAAAGCTAAGAGTTTCCGAAACCATATCTAGATAGTATATGTTTAAACAGATCAATGAGCTATACTAATCAAATAGTAATGTTTGAACAGATCAATGAACTATAATAATTAAATGTGTTTTTTGTTTGCAACATGTCATTAAAGAAAGACTTTGGCCCCTATAGAATCCGATGGATTGATCCATATGATTGATATTCTTATGGTTTGGTAGTAGCGACTATAGTATTGATAAACGATATTTTTGAAATTCATATATGCTATTAGGATGGGATGGATGGAACTAACGAACAAGTTGAAACAAAATTCAACAACGACTTGCTAATTTACAACAGCTAAATTAATTTCAACATATGTTTTTTTGTTTTTGTTAATGATGATCAATTGCTGTTTTAACAACTAGCGAGTCTAATGATTCGTTTGGACCGCCTGCTCGATTGGCTAAACGTTTGAATTTTTTAAATCTCATAATCACATTTGTTTCACCGGTTGTTCACCTATATGTTTATTTCTTGCTTCTTCGCATTGATCATGCCATTAGAAAGGATCTATCTTTATAATATAAGCTTACTTGGATCCCGAACAGGATCAACCAAAGTACAGTCTAGGTCTCTTGGTTTATGAATTAAGAATGAAAAATGACTCTAGGGGAAGTTATTGGCACCATGGCTACGACGGCCTCACCACCACCTATTCCTCATCCGCTCCTACATTGGAAAACGACCTCTTCCACCTCCCTCTCGCATATCTCTCGACCACCAAATCTTCCTCCTTTGCCTTTAGCTCGACTAGGACCTCAGCTATTTGTCAGTTTTCGAGAAAACGAGTTGCGCAACGTTTTTTTAAGGATTTTCTTATAAAAAATACTACTTATGATTTTGTAGACTAAACTGAAGGATGGAAGGTACATGAACCTAGGCTTGAATAGAAATTACATTTTCAATTTACCACATATGACTGGATTTACAGATACCATATGTGTTTCTTATATTTATAGAGTAAGTTCGGTAATAGTTGACTGAAAAAAAAATCGATAGATATAAATATATTGAAAGTTTAATAGTGTTTGTTGATAAAAACATAGCAAAACACTAATGAGAACTAACAATATCAAAAGCATAAGGGATCTTTGTTTTTGTTAAACAAGCATAAGCGATCGAGATTAGAGAATAAACAAAATCAAAAGCATATGAGGCCTGATCTCTAATGCAGGCCGGGAACGAGAGTGACACCACAAATTAAGTAACCGATTTGAACAATCGGGATTAGAGATTCGAATTGAGGAGGCTTTTATCCGTTAGAAGTGGCCAATGTATCACATCAAAGTTGTAAGGTGGTCAATGTATTTATCTATTATATTATTTTAGAGGTAACTATCTGCTTTCGAAAAACTTGAGAAATTCATAAATTACATGTGTTAATGCAAGCATAAGCATAGACAGGCCTGAGCATATATATTGCTGATAACTAGCGCTGAGTAAAAATATTCATAATACAAAATCAAGTTGTGTTTCGTAGGCCTGTACCTAGACTATTTGAAGAGAATATATTGTTGTCAAACAGACCAAAAAATCTTAAGTGACGAAAGAGCCTAATTAGTATAGGAATGCTGGAGGGGAGAAAATTTTATGTTTAGGTTTTCCTAGTTTTATCAGATTCTTGAGCTTATACAGAGGGATCTTAGGGTTTGGCACTAATTTATTATATTATTACTAGATTAGCTCTTATTTTATTTTATTACTAATAAGTTTTTGATTCTTATTTTACCCTCAAATCTTTTGTTAGTAAAATTCTTATTTAGAGGAATGCCACTACAAAAAAACAAAAATAAAAAAATTTACGATTTTGCCATATGACAGATTCCATAAAATGTGACCACATACTTATTTTTAGATAGATTTGTTTCATTTCGGCCACAGAGTTATAAGTGTCTCACCAATTTATTTAACATATTTTTCTTTTTGGTCATACACTTACTTAATTTTGATAGACTTAATTAACTTTCAATAGATTTATTTCTCTTTGACCAAAAATTTACTTAATTTTTTTCTCACAGATTTGTTTCTATTTAGACAAAAAAAAAAATTAAAATTTGACAAACTTAAATAGTTTGTCACAAATTTATTTTTCTTTGTCTACAAATTTATTTTATTTTGACAGATTTATTAGTATTCGATATATTTTTTTTCCTTTAGCCACAAATTTACTTCATTTTTAAAGACTTAATTATTCCCGTTACATATATTTTTTCTATTTGGAGACAAATTTTTTAAAATTTGACAGATTTATTAGTTTGTCACAAATTTATTTCACTTCGCCCATAA